GACGTAGGAATACCTAGCGTATCCCCGGATGAAGTTACTATAGTAGCTGGTCAGGCCTAGGAAGCTGCGAAGATGCTTGGCGGATGTGGGAGCGGGCCACTCCGCAATAGCAGTGATCTTCGCGTCGTCCATGTGGAGACCCTGGTCAGACACGTAATGTCCTAAGAAGTCCACTTTGTGCTGGGCAAAGCTACACTTGCTCAGCTTGGCGTAGAAGCCATGTCTGCGCAAGCGGTCAAGGACGTCGCGGAGGTGTCTGAGGTGCTCCTCAAGGGTACGACTATAGACCAGGATATCGTCGAGGTAGACGAGAACGTACTGCTCCGGGATGTCCGTGAAGATGTCGTTCATCGCCCTCTGGAAGGTAACGGGTGCATTGGTGAGGCCGAATGGCATCACCGTAAACTCGTAGTGGCCGAAGCGCGATCGGAACGCTGTCTTCGACTGGTCGGCTGCAGCGACGCAGATGTGATGGTAACCGCTACGAAGATCAATCTTCGTAAAGAAGCGGTTGCTTGCTAGGCGGTCAAACAGCTCATCGGAACGAGGCATGGGGTAGATCTCTTCTTAATCGTGTAGCGGTTGAGGCCGCGATAGTCGATGCAGAGACGGAGAGTTCCATCCGCTTTGTGAGCAAAGAGGACGGGTGCACCCCACGGGGAGTTGTTGGGTTTAATGAAACCCAGTCTCAGGAGCTCCTCAAGTTGACGCTTGACTTCGGTGGCCTCGGGGATCGAGAGTCTGTAGGGTGTCTGGTGGTGAACACGATAGTCAGGCACAAGCTGAATGGAGTGCTCGACGTCACGCATCGGTGGGATGTCGGCGTACGAGAACGACGATGGGAAAACGTCGTGGTACTCTCGGATGAGGTCACGAACTGCGGGCTCCAGGTCAGCCGTATATCGTGCGAGTTCCTCAGCGTCAGCGTCAGCGTGCGACGGCGGGGTGGACTCGACGGACGGCGGAGGGACGGGAGTAGAGATGGAAGGAGGGTCTAGCTCCAGAGGGATGAGCTCGGCGTCGGGGCAGGGTGGATCATAGTGTAAGAGATCCGTCACGTTCACCATAAAGAAGGTGACGTCGTCCTGTCGGATGAAGTGGGCGAACTGGCGAGGCGAGGTGACAGTGATAGAAGGAGATGGTGTGGGCTCGGAAGGCTCCGGGGGAGGAGGATCGGGGCGTGGTGTCGCGGTGGTACCTATGAAAGGTATGCGATACGTCTGTCCACACTTCGTTTTGAGAACGAGAGTGTTGGTCGCCCGATCGGCCTCGGTGCTGCGGAACCGACGAGACCACGGAGTGCCGAGAATGAAGTCGTACCTCGTCTCCATCACATCGAAATGTGCAGAGGAGCGGTGGCGRCGAGACGCCGGGGAACGATCAGTCGGCTCGAGAGAGGAAGAAAGGGAGGTCGGTGACCGTCTGATCGAAGAAGCGCTGGGTCTTGTCATCCCCTAGGGTAACGGAGATGGGAGTCGGAAACCCTGTCGTGGGTAAGCGGGCTTCTTTCACCACGCGTGGGTGAATGAAGTCGCCCTGAGAACCGGAATCCCACAGCGCGGAGTACACCCTCGTGGAGGTCCCGAGTCGTACTGGGATGATCAGGAGGGTGCGATCAGGGTCAGAGAGGATGGCGAGAAGGCGACGCAGTGCAGCGACATGGAGGGTGAGTCGCTCCTGACGAGCCTGGAGCATGCTCAAGTCCAGAAGAGAGGACACGACGTCCTCGCGAGTAGCGAGCTGCTCGCTGCAACGGGCTGAGCGAATGGCTCGACGCGTCGGTAGTCGTGGCGGGGAAGGAGGGGAGACGGTGATCTGCGGAGGCGCAGACGGTACTGCGACCGAGGGCTGAGTACACTCTGTTAGTCCTGCGATACCTCAACTCCAGTAGCGAGAGGGGCGAACCGCGACGGAGATGTCGGAAAGCCCACTATTGAGGAGGGCGCAGGTGTACACTGCACCGTGGCTAGGAGGCGCCTCGGGGATGCGAGGCACCAGGGGGGGATTGAGCACGACGCTGGCGGGAAAGGTCAGCGTAGTGGCGGTCGAGGGCGATAGTGTAAGGGCACCGCGAGGAGGTATGACCGTCCAAGCGGCAGCGCAAACACCCACGTCGGCCCAAAATAGCCGCGCGCTCCTCAGCGGAAAGGACACCGCGAGGAGGAACAAAGCCCTGAGGGAGGTCTTGCTGAGGGACCTCGGGGGGCGACGCGCCAGCGTGACCAGGGCGGCTGCGTGCCCGGGAAAGGGTGGAGAGGATAAGTTGGAGGCGCTCAGCCATAGGGAGAGTAGGGTCCTCCAGGTGGTGTTGGACGGCATCGCTGAGGTCGAGGTCATCGCTATGATCACCCGCTGGCGACAGCGGGGCACCAGCGTCCTGCTCACCATACTCGATCGCGCTGAAGCGGCGCGAGAAGTGGCGACCCTGCTGCGTGGAACGGCGGGGGCGACTGCGGAAAGGCGAACGGCGCTGGGAAGTGCCATGAGAGGAGGAGGCGTAACCCGTGCGCTGAGGCTGGGAGGAGGAGGCGGGGTGAAGACGGACTCGCATCTGCTCATGGTTCCTGGCGGCCTCGCAAGCCTGCGGGGCCAATGTGAACTCGTATCGCCATAGCTCGGAGCGGTACTCGAGCGGGAGGCTGGCCAAGAAACGATTGATAAGGGCAGCCTCGGGAAGGAACGTCATGTCACAAACGAGGCGGGCGTCCTGAAAGACCTGGATGTGGTGATCCAGGCCGGCAGCGCCACCAGAGCCGGACCAGCGTGTAGTGACGACACGCTCGAAGGCGTCAGTCACGTCATATCGGGTTCCGAAGCGATCCTTGAGGAACGCCTGGAAATCCATCAAGGTCGGAGTCCGACCCTCACGCAGGGAGTAAGCATAGAAATCCTCCCAGGCGTCGAAAGGAGCACCACGCAGGCGCATGGAGAGGCACGTGTCGGGTGTGGCACCCATGAGCTGGAGCGTGTGGGTGGCAGCCTGCAGCCACCTAGACACGCGTATGCCTGTACCGTCATACAAGGGAATGTCCGACAAGCGGATGAGTGGTGCGCCACCGTTTTTGCGGCGAGGGGAACGGGAAGCAGGGGACTGCGCTACGGCGGAATAAGTCGGCGCAGGTCCTGGAGGAGGAGGCGCAGCTGACTGTACACCCGGGCCGCATGGTGGAGCGGCGAGGGAAGCAGCGGCAGCTGCACGGAAGCTGCGGTAGAAGAGGTCGCGGCAACCGAGGGGATGGGGAGGAGGTAGGATGGAGATTGGTAGGGTGCAGGACGAGGGAAACGAGCCTGCATGGAAGGAAGAATAGAGGAAGAAGGGGGTGCGCCGAAAGGCGCGGCGACCTGTGAGGTTGGGGGTGGCTGAAGGCGTGAGAGGGCGAGGTCGGTCCGGAGCCGAGCGATCTCGTCCTCGAGACCTCGAACGTAGGTCGAGCGAGGTGTAGCAGGGGGAGACGCACGAGCGGCGCGAGGCATCCCACAAGGGGGAGAGCCAGATGGCGCTGCGGTCGTGCGAAGAGGGGGGAGAAGTGGGGCACCCGGAAAAGCTGAGACCATGGTAGCGGGTTGTGGTCCCGTGGCCGTCGTGACTGGAATCTGGGCGGGTGCGCCCGTGGACCGAGGGAGGGCCTGACTCGTGGCGGTCGTCGTGCTAGGTGAGTGGACGGTCACCAAGATGGTCGGGTCGGGGGCAGCGGAGGAGGAAGCTCCACCGTGGCCGCCCGGAAGGCGGGGGACCCGGACTGGGAGTCGAGAAGAGATAGGGTGAGGAGAGGAAGGACGACCAGCGTCATGGAGTTGCCGCACGCCGGCGGCAAGGGTCGCCACCTGCGCCTGTAAGGGCGCGAGGGTCGCGAGTTGCGCCTGCATGGGCGCAAGGGTCGCGAGTTGCGCCAGGAAGGAGGTGAGGAGGGTGTGCAGATCCCCTGGGGCTGATGGCCCTGGTCCGCCGGCACAGGTGTGGAGCCCGATGCCATGGTCGTCGCCGTGTCGACGGCGTGTGACACACCGTCAGCCATGGGGAGATGACGGACCGGACTGGAGGGGGCCAGAAGAGGTCCGCGTGAGCGGAGGGCGTAGGGGGAAGTCCGCGGTAGAAAGCGGCGAAAGGCGCTAGCAACTAGCAAGGCTAGCGCGAACACCGTTAAAGGGGGAGGGGTGGTTTGGGTCCAGGGTGCCCGAAGAGGAAGGGGAAGTAGGGGGGTTTTGAGGAACCCTAAACCCTACAAAAACCCTAAGGAAAACCCTAACCGAGGTTTAAGTGGTTAGGGTAGGGTACCGGTGACCTAATCAAGAAAGTAAAAGAGCAAGCATAAGGGGGAGAAGGCGGGAGAAAAATAAATAAACAGCGAGATTTCGAGAGAAAATAAAAATAAATAAGTAAATAAATAAATAATAAAAATAATTAAAGGAATAAGTAAAAGGATGGAAAGGAAAACCTTTTTTTTTTTTTT